TTACGCTCACCAATGCGAACAGTTCTCCAGTCTCAGGATATTTAAGCCAACAACGGAGCCTCTTCCATCTGTTTGGGCCAACAACGTGCCTAAAGCTGTCTAAAAGCGGCTAAATCTGTCTAAAGGACTCTACTGAGAACCGGATTAGGGCAGAAACGTTAAATAACGAGGCGGAGCAGGACCGGAGATAAACGGCTCCGATCTGGCTCATCTCTGGACCAACCACACGCTATGGCACTTTGTTTTGGTTTTTAAACAAACAAATCAGGGACATTTGCATCTATATAAAAAAACGTAGCTAAAACATCTCAAATTCCACGTCAGTGGTTGGCTGGCCTCCTGACAACAGAATCTAAACAGGCCAGTTCTGGACAACTGCTTCCAAAGAAAAATAAGACGCCTTTTTTTTTTTAGTTTTGATGCTTTTGGTTCCTCATTCTTCCCGTTTTACGTCCACTGCTGTGTCGATTCCTGGTTCACGGGACTCCATGTAAACAGATGTTTTCACAGCCCTGCCCCTAAACTTTGGGCAGCATCCCACAGCTGTCCAGAACCCAAGGCCTCCCAGCTGTCCAGGAGCGGGTCTGGGGGGGGCCTGACTCCCACCAGAGGAGGGTTTACTGGTGGAAAAGCAGCTGAGTGGGTCAACTGTTAACAATAAACACACAACAGAACAGAGCCTCAGTTTTAAGGGAGATGTTCCATGGAACGGGGAAACACACCGACCTCAGGCTGAACTGAAGCCGGGATCTGGGCTCCACGTCCGGCCCACCCGGGGGGCAACCATTACCTAGCAACCGTAACCCACTCCCAGGTCCCGGGTCCACCCACCCACCAACGGCCGGAGCCCGACCAGGAAGCCCCGGAACGGGGGCAGTAGACCCGGAACGGCGGCAGTAAAGCCTGAACGGGGGCAGTAAACCCGGAACGGGGGCAGTAAACAGCAGGGAGACACCAGGGAAGCTGCTCTCGGCTGCTCCTCCAAAGGGCTAAAAATAAACATGACGGGAGAACGGCCGGAGGAGCCCCCGGCCTCGCCGGCCCTTATCGGCCCGGTGGCTCTGGTCGGGGCGCAGCTTCTCCTCCGCCTGCCACCACGAGATTACGGATCTTTAAACGAGCGGAGAGCCAGAGAGACGAGCCTCCGGGACCGGGGCTGCTGCCAGGCAGCTAGCAGGGCTTCCTGCCCGGTGGGGTTTCCCGGTTCTGGCCCGACGCCACCGCGTCCAGCCGGGGCGGAGAGACCCCGGCGTGTCTCGGCCCCGGCTGCCGGGTTTCGGCGGCCCCCGGCCGGCTAAAGACGCTGCGCTCACCCGTCGGAAGGACCGAGGCTCCGGGCTTCTTGGTTAACATGGCGGCCGCTCCTCTCCTCTGGTCACGGACGGGCAGGACGCCTCCTCTTCCTCCGTCTTCAGCTCCTCCTCTTCCTACCTCCACACCTCCCATTTCTCCTCCTCTTTTCACCTCATTCGAAAAATCTTTTATTCAGTAGAAGAGCAGAAACCTAATTTTAAACAGTTTGTAAATGTTTGTAATGTACTCACATGTCATCTAAATAAATGGACATAATTCAAGTCAACTAGAATCTAAACGTTTTTTCTCTTCATATTTTGATAAATGACACATGAATAAAGGTATAATTGTGAATATTTAGCCTGATAATATCACATGCTTTGTTTGATTATTTCACACAATTGTTTTATATTGTTTGTATATTTTTAAATAAATAAACAAATATCATTGCTTAGTTACTTCTCTGACAAATGATGTGATGTATTTATTTAAAAATGTTAACCACTCTGAGCAGAATTCTCAATCCAATTCTCTCGATGCAGATGAAGTGTTTAAAGAACAAAACCACCTCCAGCAGATGAAGAGGATCTGAAAGTCCTTCAGAAAGAGGAGCAGGTCCAGCAGAAAGTTGAACAGGAGCTGAGAGCTGCATCTGGACCTCCAGCTGGTCAGCTCCTGGTGGCTGAATCAGAAATGCTCTCCATGAAGGGGGCTGTCCAGAAGCCATGAAGGAAGGAGACAGGAGGAAAGCTGAGCTCTGCCAGAGGAACCAGAAGTGGACCGAACCCCAGCTCTGATGGAGGGATGGACTCTAACCAAATATGCAAAACCAAGGCTTAAAATGACCAAAAAATACAACGAAAAAGCTAAAATGCAGCTAAAAAGACCAGAACAAAGCAAAAAAAGCAAAGAAAAAGCTAAAACTGTCCCAAAAATAAAGCCAAAAAAGCAAAAACAACACTAGAAATGACCAAAAATACAACAAAAGAGATCAAAATAGAGCTAAAATTTCCAAAAAAGATCAAAGATAGAGCTAAAATTACCCAAATAGAGCAAATATAGAGCTAAAATGATCAAAATAAAGCTATCCTGTCAGTTATCCACCAGCAGCTGAACCTCTAGAGCTCCCACAGTGGGTCAGGAACTGGATGAAAGCAGGAACCAGAAGTGGATATATCAAAATATATATCAAATATCAAATAGCAATATCAAAACAGAAGAGGGGTTTTCAGGAGAGTATTTCTCATTGTTGTTACTACAGCACAGCTCAGTCCTATTCAGAACCATGGCAACTACTTAGTTGGGTATGTGTGAGTTAAGAGCTGTTTGTATGCTGAATATAAGACCTAGCTTTGTGTGTTCTTGCTTGGAGGGCACAGCTTTCCATGTCTTCTGTGGTTAAAAGACTGAAAGAAGCTTTTGGATATATTTCCTCAGCCGTGTCCTTTTGGATTTTCTGCATCTTGTAAAGGTCCCTCTGGGTCTTTTTACACTCATTTATAAGGTTATAAGTCAAATGTGCATGGTTCGATTTACACGCTGAATAATTCAGGATGAAGGCTGGTGTTATGTAAATGGTCAAGTTTTATTCTTATAGTTAGCAGCAAACAGTTACCTGGAACACAATGCACTTCAAATGCATTTCAAAGACGGGACTCAGATATTTTTTGGAAATACGTATCGCTTTGAAAATGCTTATGTTGCACGGTAGTTTTCGTTTGTGTTTCTCGGAAAACCTTTCTGTCTTTTTTGTCTTTTTCAAAAGTATTGAACTTGAGTGTTTCTTTTTAAAAACCAAAACCTGTTACATTCTGTTTGAAAAAACATTTTGGCAATTACATAGATATACATTTGTCTGAACCACTGAGGAGGATGGTTTGACTTTGCCCTGAACTCCGTTTGAGGACAGAGTTACTTTACACCTTGTTAATGAAGCTGCTTAGAAACCCCAAACATGTTTGCATCACAGCCTCTGACAATAAAGTTTGTTCAGTTACAGCATGTGTACGTGTGTGTACGTGTGTGTGAAAGAGATCTCAGGTTGCACAGCTTTTACGAAAATTAAACACCAGAGCATACTTATATAACACACAGAAACACAGCAGCTCAGATAACTGAACAAAAGAAAAACACGGCTGCTGTCCAACCATTCAGCTTCTATTTTTTTACTTTGTTGTTATGAAGCTAATTTCTGCAGACAGTCGCTTTGAAAATAGTGAAAAATCTTCCTAACTCTGTGCCCCAGAATCAAATAAGATGCATTTAGTTTAATGCGATACATAGAAAATTTCAATTATAAATTGGGGAAGTTTGCTCGTATTGTGCTGCTCTAAAATTGTAACAGAGTGCACTTTATGGAAAAATACTGCTTTAAATCAAAGTTATGTGCTGTTATCAATGTAACAAAACAAAACAAAGCAAAAGTCAGTCTATCAGAAAGGCTCATATCTCACTTTCGGTTTAGACAGCTCATCCACCAGGTCAGGTCAAACAGATAATGCTTTAAAAACTGTTGATTTAAGAAAAACTGATATTATAAACTTGATAACTGCAGCTTTGTACGGCCGATTTGACACTTGATGTTTAAAAAATGGTACACACTCATAATAAAAACTCAGCAATATGTGTTAATAAAAAGTAATCCCATTTTTCAACAATGTCCAAAAGTTCTTCAGATGAACGTACACCACCATCTACCGGATAAAAGATCCTTTTGCGCGTCTGTGCGACTTTTATTTTGACGTGGACCGGAAGTCTCCATCACTTATTTGCTCAATTAGCTACAATGGCGACCGGAAGAGGTGAATATTTTCGGAGTTTCATGGAGGGTTTAGAGAGAACTCCTGCCCAACCTGTTGCGGTCAAACAAAAACAAAGTAAAGGAAGAGGAAAACCGGCTGCGGAGGAAATTTTGAAAGAACCAACCAGAAGAAAAGGAAAGCAAAGAAGGGGGCGACCTAAGGTTCCTGGGAACACTGTTAGCGAGACAAAACGAAGGTGACTGGTCGCTGTCAAATAGATTTTGGATGATTTTTTTTATTTGATTGAGTCACACCTTTGAAAATGTACTATTTTTTTTAAAGACCTGGTCTCTCGGATCAAATATCTTCCTCCAAAGAAAATTGGTTGGAAAGGTAAGACAATTAGCTAATTAAGAAGTGGGTGGGCAGGGCCAGACGTTCTGATTGGCTGTTTGCTTAAGTATAGTTGCTGTGATTGGTAGTTTAATCACGCGTTTAATTTTCTTGCTAATACCCAACAAACGGGATGTTTTGAAGTCGACTCATGATTTTTAATGTTGCAAACTCTGTTGGCCCTCTAAATCCATTGAACGCTATAGGTGGAGTTAATGAGTAAATAAGTAGAAAATGTAATAGAATTAGATATAAAAAAAGATTGATTTGCTTGTAAAGTAGCTTGTTTTGAGGCTAAAGCTTAACACAAGTCTCTGTTTACTTCCCTCACTCCATTAAAGTCCAGTTAAAATTAATTTACTTTCCCCTGAAGGTAGCACCCAGTGGTTAGGGTTATCTTAAAATGTAAAAAGGTGTGTTAGGTCCAGCCCAGATGGGATTTGATCTCTGCAGGTGTCGATGGTTACTGCAGAAAACTGTCATCCATCTAAATTAAAATGTTTGTGGAAACCTTTAGCTTGGTTGGTGGCGTAACAGGCCCTCGCTGGCCCCTTTTCTCCCCTCTTATTCAGACTCCCGTCGGAGATTCTGATCAAGATTCTGTCATACCTGGACGCCTCCTCCTTGCTCTGTGTCAGCCATGTCAGCAAGCTGCTCCACCGGCTGGCCAACGACGAGTGAGTGGGCTCTTTCTCCGTGTCCGTCCACGCCAGGCCAACCTGGCCAGGCCCAGGCCACTGGCAGGATTTGTTCACCTGTGTTTTCACCACAGCATCGTGTGGCAGAGGATCTACACGTCAGACTTTGGGAGCTGGAAATGGAAGCCAACGTCGCAGGATGGTGGGGGGGCAGAGGAGGAGGAGGTGGAGGAGGTGGAGGAGGAGGTGGAGGAGCAGTCAGCGGGCCACTGGAGGAAGACCTACCTCAGAACCATGGCGGGACAGGAGATGAACAAGTGGAGGAGAGAACTGAAGGACATCAGTCCACACACGGGCCTGCCCAGACAGACGGAGTGGGTCCTCAGGTATCAGCTTCAGACTCACAATCTGCACTTTTCTGTTAGGCTGGTCCTAATCCCATATTTGGATCAGATCGGCCGCTGATATTTGCAAAAAAATGCGTGTTGGTTGGCAGGAGAAAATGCCGATCCAGATCCAGTTTTTTTTTTAAAAGTCCAATTCCACACAAGGATTAGCATTAGCATCTCCTGACCCACAGGTCTGTGTCCTAACCATTAAGTTGTTATCAGAGTAAATCCCTGTTCAACATGGGTCTGACAACTAAGTAAGTAGATAAATAACTTTAGACTTTAACACATGCTCTGATAGGCCGGGATCGGATCGGAAGTGTAAAAAGCTGGATCGGGACATCCCTATTATCTGTAGAAATCTGCTCACAGTGGTACCTTCACACTTTAGGCTGCCCTCATTAGTGGGATTCACCTACTTAAAATGAAAATGAATTAATCAGCACTAGGCACAAAACAATGTCCTCTGCTCCTTACCAGTGAGCTGAATAAAGCTGAATGTTTTCCACCTGGAATGGCCTTACAACCCCTCTGATTGATGGTTAGCAGCAGCTGCTGATGTCTTTCCTCCTTGGCATCGAGTTCTGCTTTTTCCGAGCTGCTCTCACTCATTGAGGATAAATCAGAGCATTGATCAGCTTCTCCTGGACTCTGCTTTATCTCTGATTCCTCTGGGGTCATTTCCAATTGTCTTTCCTCCTTGGAGTTAATTTTTTACACTTTAAACTAAAAGGTAACACTCCATAAAGTTACATAAAATATTGCTTCTACTCGTTTTCTCCCACTCTGGTTGATGGTGATGTCTGGCTAAAACATTCTCTGCTTCTCGCAGTTAGCTGTCAGATCCAGCAGAGGGCGCTCAGCTCCTGTGCGTGGAGAGCCTGTATCATATTTAGCTTCTGGAAAATGACTGAACAAAGCTGTCCTGATAACCTGAGTTTCAAAGTGATTTTTAGAAAAAGGGCTGACATAAAGCTGATGGGCCAAATGACCATTAGACGCCTAAATGCTGGTTGTGTGCACCTCCCAGGAAGCTGAACGTGAGCTGGGAGCTGACGCTGAGCGACCACACGGGCCGGGAGAGCGCGCTGGAGCAGAGCCGGACCTATTTCTTCGAGTCGTCTGTGGTGGTCCGCTGGAGTGGAGGCGGCTTCCAGGGATACCATCACGTCAGCAGCATCCAGCTGTACGGGGTCAGGAGGGAGCCGCCCAACAGCCCCACGTCCAGGAAGTAAGGCCCCCCTCACGCACAGCCTCAGCCAATTGGTGGGAGCTGATTGGCTGAGTTGCAAAGTTCTGCCCCTGCTCTTTGTGGATCCTTTAGAAGGAGTTTCTCCTCCGCCATGCTGGAGAAATCCTTTTCCACTGACATCCAGCTGGTGTTTTATTTGGGTTTGGTGATATGAGAAAAAGTTATATTTCTACTATTTTTCTATTATTTTTTTTCCCGAAATGTTCGATTTCGATTTTGTATCACGATATGAACGAATCACTTTTTTTGTATTTTTTAAAAATTTCTGGAATATTAATCATGTAATAAACAAAAATAGCTTTACAGTCTTAAATGCTGAAACAAATAGCTGGTGTTTCCTGTTTTAGCTACGTTCCTTCTACATAGTTTGCACGCTGTTTTACTCTGTTGTTTGTCCGACTTCAAATACCCAAAGTACCAAAGCAGCCGAACCTCTCAGGCCCCTCTTTTCAACCATGTCATCCTTCTCCTGGGAAGCATTTTCTCTTGATTCCTGTTCAGAGCTGCCCTCAACAGACTAGCTTCTACGTGCAGTGCCGTTTAGATGTGTTGGGCATTCGCTGGTCTTTTTAAAGACGTCGGCTTATCGAACGTCTCATTTATAATCGTAGAGAAATTTTACATCGCGAATAAAATAGAAAAATCGCCCACCCATAAGGCCTCCTGGTTCAGCTCTGTGGAGGTTTTCAGAGGCAGAACTGGAGCAGGACAGCGTCTCTGGGGTGAGGGAGGTCTCGGTTTAACTCCTGGGACCCTGATTCAGATATGAGTGGAATAAGCCATGGAGGTTCAAAAACAGCCCGGTTTGACGACTACTCTTTCAGTAAAACGACGCAGAGGCTTTCCTGCTTCGTACCTGCTGCCGTGCAGAGCTGAAACGCCTGTGCCTCCTCCTCTCCAGGCCCGCCTGGCGCTCTCTCATCCTCACGCTGGACACCAGGGCCCCCGGGCGCCGCGTCCTGGGCAGGGACGGCCTGATCAAAGTGCTGGTGCTGCAGCCCGGCGTGGTCGTTGGCCTCTGGAGGGTAAGGAGGACCATAACTCCTCAGCGGTGTGGCTCTCAGGCTAACGGTCAGGTGTGTGTGTGTGTGTGTGTGCAGGGTCAGGACAGAGTGGCCTTCGTCATGGTCAGCCTGCACTTTCACAAGCTGGTGGAGAAGAGTCTGCTGGGATCTCCAGTCTGGTGAGCCTGAGCCCACGAGGCATCTCTGGGTTTTCTCTCATCTCTTGTCGGGTTTTTAAGGCGATGAAAATTAAAAATAAAGTGAGTTCCCCCCCCCCTAACCCCTTGTTCTGGCGGCCCCCCCCCCTGAAGCCCTTACCTGGAGCCCGTGGAGCCTCCACCTGTGGGCGACCCGGACCCGGAGCTGGGCCTCCACGGGTACACTCTGCACTTCGTCCTGCACAACACCGGCACCGAGATCATGTCCGGAAGGTTCCGCCAGCTCTCCTGTCGCACATTAAGTAAGCACATTACCTGAGGAAGTAGGTTCCTCCCAGCCTGGTCAGGTGTTTTATCAGCAGAAAAACTGTACAGAGCCGGTCAGGTTTGCTGTTTCTTTAACAACAACTAGAGAGGCTGCTGGATGGTTTGAAGTCCTCCTAAGTCATTTGTCTTGATCTTAAACCTGATAAATGAATCATTAGGCACATCTTCACAACAACCTTAGAGGCGTCTGCCTTTTCTTAATATGATCAAAATACTGATCATTCAGTTAGGTCGCAGTAAAAGTAACACATTACGGAAAAACGCCTTCTTCCTCCTCTGTTAGCAAGTGTAAAACTGTTGTATCCCTCATGAGCCCAAAGAAAGGCAAATGAGAGCAGGATGGGTCATTGATCACAGTCTGTCCCACCGGGGCCCAAAGAGGGCCTCAAAAATCGGACAGGTTGAGCATTTGGCGACTAGTTGGGAAGTCCAATTTGTATATGCAAAGAACTTGTAATGAGTGAGTGGATGCTAGATTAAAAAGTAAATTAAAGAGTCATTTAGATTAGAAAAAAGTTAGTCCACAATGTCTGTAATGACTTTTAGGCTCCCGTTAGGGTCACAGAAGCGGTGATGTCTGCCGTTTCCTGTGCTTTCTGTGGGCCCCCAGCTCGGCCCCCCCGCGGCCTGGTGGAGCTGAGGGTCATCAGCAGGACCGACCTGTCCCAGCACAGATCGCTGTCGGGAAGCATCAAGCTGCCCTGGAAGAGCGGGGAGCTGGAGGGCGCCGTGGAGGTACAGTGCTTTTGTTAGTTAGGTTTGATCAGTTAAACCGGCGTTATAGCAATAATGTTAGTCAGAGAAAAGGTACGTCTGACTCATCTAAAACTCATTTTAATGAGATGAGAGTTTTTCCATTGACAGGAAAGGACAGTAAGATGGAAAACATAGTTTGTACGCCACTTGTTTTCTTTTAGTTCGGAAATTCTTTCAAATCATTGTGGGGACCAGGCTGCCCGTCGGTTTTCTGTTCAGCAGTCGTATCAAAACCTGCAAGGCAAGGCAGGTTTATTTTACAGCACATTTCCTGTACAAGACAATTCAAAGTGCTTCACAGAGAATTTAAAAGCAGAAAAACAAGAAAAATTAGACAGATGAAAAGTGAAGGGTGCAGATACAATAGATTCAGTTTCCATCAGCTCAGTTAAACAGATGTTTTCACCTGGATTTAAACATCCAGGTGAAAACATCTGACCTGACCTGAAACATCTGGCTGACCCCAGGTTTCTGGGGTCAGCCTCCAGCTCTGCTCTGTCTCTTCTGCGTCACCTAGAACTGCTGCATCATGACTATGACTCTGCTGGACGAGTTCCAGAAGCCCTTCTGGTGCCTCAGCTCGCCCATAAACATCAAAATGACCAAGAGCTCGCTGTCCTACGACTACAAGGGCGACCACTTCCTGATGGAGCACCGCAGCCCGGACGGGGGGGTGAAGATGAAGCTGGTGTGGCTGAAGGAGCAGAAGCAGTTTTTCATCATCAGCCTCACTGTTTATGTTGCCGTATTCAAAGTCAACAAGCGTTTTGGGACCGAGTACTGAGGCAGGAGCCAGGCAGGGAGAAAAGCTCTTATTTTTTGTTCACAAAGCCGAATGTTTAGTTAAAATGCAGATTCACAGTAAAAAATAGTTAAATTACGACAAGATAAAAGGACTAAGATGGATGCTGGGTTCAGTCACAGATGAATAACTGATGTTTGGTTCATGTACAGCAGCTAAAGAAATACGTTTGGTTGATTTTACTTTTCCACAATAAAAACAGGACTTCACTCGTCTTTCATTTTTCATTTAATTTAATATTTAACAACTTTTTTACCTTATTAATATAAGGCTAGAATGTTTAATATCAACGCACAACACAACCCAGATCATGTCAATTTAAAGACTTCAAACTGCTTTGAAAAGAGCAAAAGCCTGAACATTTGCATGTTAAACACATCTATCTATCTGGTTGGTTCAAAAATATTATTTTCTGATGGAAAACAAAGTCAAGGCATTCATGGCATTATTCATGAACACTGTAAGACAGCCGAATCCCCTCAGGGCTGGTATGCTAAGTATTTTCTTCACGCACTTAGTTTTATCTTTATCCCAACATTACAAAAACATAAAGCTTTGTGTGGTATAATTTCCTTGTGCCTGAGAGCAATGCAGTGCTGTACATTTTAGAGTAGGAAACTGTCACAGAGCTTAGCCTGTGCCAAGCTAAACTTTATGTTCACATTCAGGTAAGAACTTAAATAAAAACCAACTTTCAATTCCTTTGAATGGACAAAATGCATTTTTATCCCCCCACAGAAAAAGTAACGTAAAAGAACGGAGTAAAGAGTAAAGTGTTGTGAGCAGCTAGTTGGAGCTACGGCTACATTTCACCTGCTAGGACTCAGGCTGGGCTTCAGGCCCAGGACTCTGAGCCCCCTTTTGGCTGACAACATCCTGCTGCTGTGAGCTGTTGTTCTCACCCAGCCGTGTCCCGCGGTTAGCCCGGGCTGGGGTTAGAGTGCGGACGTATGACTCACAGCCCCACTAGCTGGTAGAGTGCGATCAGGAAGGAAGCGCGAAGAGAAGGTCTTTATTTATGGAGAGCAAATGTGAGCACTGTTGTTTATCCGCCAGGAGAAAAAGCCCTGAGAAGGCTGGCTGGTTTCTGAACCTCCCTGTGGGCTGAAATGGCTGTTTCAGATGTATTTATTACGTGACCCTGTTCAATCCCTGCTTGCTCTCTTGTGGTAACTGTGGCTTCCCTATTGCAGTTAGAGGTTTTTACTACCCCAAACCGGGACTGAGAGGAATGTGTGGAACCACAGAAATGAATAGTCACAAGTTCTCTGTCACCTTCTGCTACAGTCAAGCTAGTCTACGTCTGCGTTTCCAGTCAGGCTCCTGGAGGCCCGCGGTCCTAGTAGGGTGCGAAAACAATGCTTTGTGTACACCCTCTCTCGCTTCTAAGGCTTTATGAATCAGGACATAATAAAAACATTTGTTTTGGCTGAAGTTTGGACCAAGTCGAACACCTCATCCACCTGCTCATCGGATCAGTTATTGCTCTGGACGGTGATGATAGACAGACAAACTCTGAGCTATGGCTAATGATGCTGGTCTTTTCTAATGACCAGTTTGGGAAGTGGCCAGCTTTGCTTAGCTGGAAATAGTTAGCTCCATGAGTCACTGTGTGGGCTCTCAGGGTCTTCAAATGAGATTCTGATTGATAACATCAAACATGCTTACAGGTGTTATGACCAGGGGGGCAGAGTTAAGGCCCCCGACATTCATACAGGGACTAAGGAATGGCAGGAGTCTCTCGGCGAAGTGGCAGCCTGTAAAGGAGTACAGGCGATCGGCGGTATCCACGTCATAAAAGGAGACCTGACCCAGCCAGTAGTCCACAAACACCCCCACCTTCTTAGGATGGGCCCTCAGAGACAGGGCCACCACGGGCTTGTCTGCAGCCTCGTGCTCATCCCCGTTCCTTAACGAAATGGTCCAGAAACCGTTCTCAGGTGTCAGTGTGATCGCTCCCTTCCTGAAAACCGACTCCGTGGCGACCCCGACCGTCCAGTCGGTCTTCCCCTCCACCTGAACCTCAAAGTACACGTTTCCCAAGAAGCTTTGCCTTCCTAAGACATTGACACACTCGTCAAACCTCTCCGGGTTGTCGGGGAGTCCCTGCTTGTCGTCGGTGTGATGGACCTGTTTGCCATCTCCGGACACGATGAGTTCAGGGTGCGCCGTGTCAGGGTCCAGGGTCACTTCGACCGCCAGCTCCCGGAGACTCTGCAGCTCGGCCCTCTGCCTTTTGTCCACCACCGGACAAATGACCAGGGGAGCGGAGTTGTTTCCACCGCTGCCTCCACACGGATTGAAGTACGGGAGGATGTTTCCGTTGAAGCGACAGTCCCTGTAAGAGTAGAGATGCTCTGCAGTGTCCACGTTATAAAAGGAGACCAGACGATCCTGATAATTCACCAACACTCCCACCTTCCGAAGACACGTCTTCAGCGGGAGGCGCACCGAGGGGGTGGAAATAGCTTCATACACTTTTTTTTTCAACCATATGGTCCAGTAGCCATCATCAGGGCTTATGTTGATCTTTCCCTTCCTGTTGATGGACTCTTTGACCACCCCCACAGTCCAGGAAGTCTTCTCCTTGACCAGAACCTCGTAGTAAAAGATTCCAGAAGAGAAAGTCTCCTTTCCTAAAACACTGCCACATTTGTCAAATCTCTTAGGGCTGTCTGGGAGATCCTTGGTCACGTCGGTGTCGTGTACTTGTTTCCCGTCTCTGGACAGGACGAGGTCAGGATGTGCCGTGTCAGGGTCCAGAGTCACATCCACCGCAAACTGCTGGACTCTCTCCAGCTCGTCCCGATTTCCCCCAAAATGATCCCGTTCATTGCCAAAGTTGTTGTTGATCTCCACACCTGGAATAAACCAGAGCACAGCATGAGCACACGGCAACCAAAGCCCCTCCACTCAGGAACTGGGGAGGTTACTTCCACCCCCCTCTGATTTACCTTGTGGTTCACGGTAGTTTCTCAGACGCTCCACCAGATCATTCCTCCCAATTTCTTTCAGGATCGTCATGGCTACCTGCTTGGCTTCTGGACCCGTGTACTTCCCGGTCATGAGATCGACAGTCTGCCAGCGTTCGGCCGTCTCCAGGGCGGCCGGTTCGATGCCAGTGTGTCCCTCCAGGATGTTGTCCTGCTTCAAATGCCATTTGAAGAGGTGGAAATCGACTTGTGCTAGTTGCAGCAGAATGTTCAAGAGCTCCCGAGAAAGATGAGTCATCTTGTCTTCTTAGTCTCGGAAAACATCTGGAACCCACAAAATAGTGATCAGATCTTAAATACAACTCATTTTTATCAGCTCCAAAGCCATGTTTTGCTCTTCAGAAATGGGGGGAGGGGCATCTGAAAGTGATTTAGACTGGAAGCTGATTTTCTTGAATACAAATATACAGTTAAATGTTTGGTTAAAATACAAACAATGTTCAGCAGAGAACAATGTCTTCGATCCACAAGGAGATGTGAAACCTTTCCTGTTTTAACATTTTAGAATTATAGTGACTTAATTTTTAACCTTATATGATGTAGATAAAACATTCCACGTTGTTCAAAGGGAAGAAAAAATCCAATAAAAAATACTTTTATGACTTTCATGAGATTTTTTCAAACTGAAACTGATATTGAAGCAATCTGAGGTTAAAGATATAAGTTAGGGGATATGGATATAAAAGTAAATGTCACTTTAAAAGAGAAAATCATTTAAACAAATAATTGAACAACATGAAAAAAAAAGTAATACATGTAAAAAAAAAAAGAAAGAAAATAAGTTATTTTGCTACTGTATGTTTTGTATTTTGTTTTAATTTTTCACTGTTTATTCTTTTTACAAGCACTAATTGATTTTCACTCATTTTTCTAAGATTTCAATAGTATTTTTTGCACCAACTGCTTTCCATTGGTCAAAATATCTGGTATTCTGTCCCAGTAAAGTTTATTTAGAGTCAGCATCGAGTTTTAGCCTTCTAAAGGCTCTCATGAGGCCCCACATCAATGCTGGAAACGTTTAACCTTCAGTTTTGTTTGCAGGGGGGAAACAGGCAGCACGGCTCACTGGGTTCTTTGCTCTGAAATTCCTCTAAACAGTCGTTTTTAAAACTGACAGAAACAGCATGTGGGCGACTGAGCAAACAAAAATAGTTCAGAAAAAACTCACCCGCTCGAATCCAAAACATGGAGAATGTGTAAAGAAGATTCTGTTTGGCTACAAATGCCAGATCCAGATGAGGTCCTCGGTGTCGGAGACCTGGTTAACGGTCTTCTCTGGACTCAGGGGCTATTTCCTGTTCAGCATTCTCTTCTTCTGCTCAAAAAAATGAGCCCTGCAAAGTGCACAGGGAGTGCACGTGTGCTCCCAAAGGCAAAAGCTGGCGTTGGGGTGGAAGGACCCTGTTACAGGGACTGTTTTTCCCCAAACTACGAGCGAGCTGCAGTAGGCCTGAACCCCGTCAGATAAGGGCCACGCTGCAGAGGAAGAGGGGGCCAGTCTCTGACCCGCGGCCCCGAGGTGGAGCCTCCCCAGCGGCCAATCAGAGCGGCCGCTGCTTCCGCTTTGGTGCCTAGCACCGAGTGATAATGGGTGGAGTGGAAAGAGAAAGAGAAAGAGAAGCCCTCCTGTCTGTGTACCTCTGTGTGTACGCTTTTAAAAAGCAGTAGTGTCTCTCCCCACGCTCAGACTTTAGACTTTAGGCTCACATTTAGTTATCCCTTGGAATTGCTCTTTCAGGAAATTTGGATTTCAGAGATCCGACAGAAACAGACCCAAGACACACAGGTCTGGGAAGACTGTGGGTCCAGAAGCCCCCCCTTTTTTATTCTGGGACGGGTAAAAAAAAAAGGCCCAGTGGTCACTCCCCCTACAGGGGACCTGACCATGATTACACCTAAGCGCACACACAGTCAAATCACAACATCGAGGACACATTTGGGGAGGAAGGGGGAAGATAAGGTGTGTTTTCATCAAAGTTTTTCTTTCTTAGTTTGATACATAAACAAACCATGTGATGAGTATATCTGACTGTCAAAACGGAGAGCTAACAGCATGATTTGGACTGACTGACCGCTGCACATCCTCTCCAGCCCAGCCGAGTCCTTCCCGTCTCGTGCCGTGTCCAGCCTCACATGAAGCTAGCTAAGGGCGGTTTCCTTTGGATTGACCGCCCCTGTCTTTCTACTCTACTCTAATCTGATTTCTTCATCTCTCTGCTAACCACTTCTCTCAAACGATTTCCTGTACTTCCTCATTCCCAAACCATGAGTGGGAGTCTTCTTTCCCCTGTCGGCTCCTGGTGCTTTCCCTCGACTCCCCACAGCCTGTACGGTTGTGGGGAGTGGGGTAATTCTCTTTTGCCCTCCTATATCTTCTACAACAAGTCTGTTTCCCAATCCTCACGGCTCATTTTGGAGCAGGGCCTTTTCCAGGCAATAATCACTGTTTGGAAAAATACAGGAAGGAAAGAAAGGAATGGAATTAAGCCGGAGTTACAGTAGCTCTGGCATCCTGGAACTGTTGTTGTGCTTTTATTTGTGCTTCGCAGTACTCTCAAGCATGTGGTGTCATTTATAATTATGCTTTAATGATAAAAATTTGTGAAAAGATTACTAAGAATCATGGACGTAATGTTAATTCATTAGGATCAAGACCATTTTATTTTTAACGTGTCCAATGCTTTTCAATTGGTTTTTTAAAAGAAATAAAATTCTTATCAAAACTCTTTATCCTGACTCTTTTTTTAATCAAACAGGAGATGGCGCCATCTACTGGATAAAACAGGATTACAACCAGTTCTTTCCCTCAGCACTTACAGTGTGGATTTGTGAACCTGTTAGTCTGTGACTTATGTTTGAGGAAAGGCGGCAGACATGGATCAAATCTAATCGGTGTTGCTGACCGGAGAGATGACCAAAGGGGCTGAGTTCTGACCGTTCCGATGGGTGCCGGGACTGAAAAAGGGGTAGAGCTTCTCGGAAAAGGAGCAATTAGTGAAAGAATGAATAAGCTCTGAGGAATCCACGTTATAAAAGGAGACAGAGCCCTTTTCATACTCCACAAACACCCCCACTCTGTCCGGCGGGGCTCCCACTGGGAGGTGGACTCCGGAGGCTTTGTAATCCCGCCCGTCTCTCAGCCCGATGGTCCAGTATCCGCATCTGGGGTGTGCTGTGATCGACCCCTTCCGGCCAATCGACTCCTTGACCACGCCCACATCCCAGGCGCTCTTCCCTCCGACCCGGACCTGGAAGTAGAGCCTCCCTGTGGAGATCTCCTGCTGACCCAGGACGTTGGCCGCAGAGCTGAAGCGTCCGGGGCCGTCGGGCAGGTTTCTCTGCTCCCGGCCGCAGTGGACCTGCCTCCCGTCCTCAGACAGGACCAGGCTGGGGTGGGCCGTGTCCGGGTCCAGGGTCACCTCCCCCGCAAACTGCCGGACCCGGATCAGCTTGGACCTACGGAGGAACGTGTCCAGCTCCGCGTTGAGTTTGTCCCTCAGCTCCTTGACCGTGCTCATCACAATGGTTCCGTAGGACGGCTGGGGAAGCCCCTCCTCTTTTGGGGGGTGCAGGGGGGGGCTGAGGGGATCCTCCGGGTGGGGAAAGGCCTCCAGCTCCGCTGCTCTGCGGCTCAGCTGGGAGATGTCCAGCTCCAGCTTCTGGATGATGGCTTCGGCCTGCTTCTGGGTGGTTCTCTGCTTTAACTCAATCTGCTGGACCACGCGGGCCAGACTGGACTCCACTGACCTCTTCAGATCCGTGAACACCTGCACAGTGTCTGCGGTCTGCCGGGCCGAGGATATCCGGCTGATTTCTGCTGAGCGGTGAATTTGACCAATCATCTTCTGTCTCTCCTGTATCATCAACTGGATGTCAGCCTTTAGCCGCACTACTCTGGCCTTCTTTGTGCTAGATTCCCCTTTGATAGAATCAGAATCGGGGTTCTCGAGGTCTAAATCAAAGCAGAGGAGAAAGGAATTGGTCAGTTTTACAGAAATAGACTTTTTATGAATTCCTCTTTCAATACTCAGTCTGTTACTGTTACTAAGAAACGTGACTCACAGTTTTACGCTCTCATAACTCACCTCTCAGTTCCAGCACCAGGTCATTCCGGGGGATTTTCTCCAGAATCCTGGCGCTTTTCCGTCCAGCCCCGGGCCAGCCGTACGTTTGCACCATAAGGTCCACCGTGTCCAGCCGGTCAGCCCTCTCCAGCCGGGCCTCCGGGATGGGGGAGGAACTGTCTTCTGGTTCGCTCAATTTCAGGAACCACTTGAAACGCTTGAAGTCCTCAGTCGTCAAGCTCTCCAAAACCTTCAGGAGAACCTCCCGAGAAGTTGTCATCCTGCCACTGTGGATCCTAAAACAGTGAGAATGAAATGGTTTTGAGTAACGATGACAAAGTCAGTTTGAAAAATCCATGTTCCTGCTTTGATTTTTCAAAATGCACATTTTGCCACAGTCATAGAAAAAGAAAGTGATAACACCCTACATATATGAAACAGTAACCAGGTCCTAAAATGAAGTGAACTTGTGCAAACACGGATTAAAAAGACGAGCAGCCTGAACTCCGGACTCTGATGGACTGTTCAGCCACTTGATTCTGGTCTTTTTCAGACTTCTGCTGCTGTGTTTGGATCCTTGTCCTGTTGATGATCCAGCTCCAGCTATAGCTCACCTTTTGTTCTACCTCTAACCTGCTAACTGAGGGGCCATAGAGTCTGAGACCTAGTTCTTGGAGACCTAGCTCTTGGAGACCTAGCTCTCGGGACTCACAGATGTCCTGAATGTTTGACTTCATTTCAATCAAGACCCATTGTGGACCACAGTTTTCTTCCTTTTTTTACTTCACCATGAGTAAACAGGAAGGGAAATTCTAGCTTCATTAGCTTCTAGCTTTATTTACAGAACACGCTGACCATAAAATATAATTATAGCTTCTCTAAAAAAGGTTTTGACACAAATTAAGATTGTGTTGTCACATCCTGCAATCAGAGCCCAATAACCATCGTTTCAAACCAGAAATCTGCAGTTTGAACCAAAGCTGCTGCACACATTGAGTCTGGATGAAGCAAAGTAGCACTTTTTAAATATAGCTCAGGCCGAGGATCGATGGCTACGCCAGAACATGCAGAGATTATTCATGTTGCTGAGTTAAAGAATATTTTCTATCCCTCTCACAATTACTTCTGCTTCAGTAAACATGTAGATGTTTACTGATTCCACCAGTCCAGCTGCCGATAAAGAGCTGGACTCAGAGAAATCGGATGGAAAAAAAAGATCCTCTGATGAGTTTTTCTTTGTGTCTGATTTTTTTTTGTAGCTGATACACATAGAGTCTCTAAACAAACTATGCAGAAAATTGAATGTAGTGCTAACATAAGCAACAAAACTGCAAACAAACTCTAAAAAACCTCAACTGCTTTAGGTTTTTTCAGACTGCAAACACTCCAAAAAGCCTAAAGCAATTCTGAGACTAGTTCAACCATGCTGGATCTTTCCACGCATTCTAAAAATCCCACGTGCCCTGAGAATAACTCAGTTTTTAGAGCTGCCGTTCAGAAGTTGGGTTAAAGCTGGAGTAACTCCCAACTGATGACGTCTTACCGGTTCAGTCTGTCCAGAGGAGTAGCGCCTTCTGACAAAAGGGGAACAAAAATGAAGGAGAACTGGAGCAGAGCCAGGACGCTCTAGAGAGCCTGAGGAAGACACTTCCTGTAACCCGAAACGTGGGACAAAACCTGGGCTCTTACTTCTGTAGAGCAGTGGGAGGAAGAGGAAGCTCTGGCATGAGTGTAGAGTGTATAAAACCAAAGGATGGGAAGGTAAAACTGGACATCTGCGTGCACTAACGACTGACTCCAGGAGAAAGAAAAAAGAATTTGCCCACAGAAACTGAAGACAGAAACAGCTCCGAACGCAGCCGGGTCCAAAACATCCGTCAGTTTATCCTAATGGGAATGACAACTATTTCTATCCAAGAAGCTGCCTTTAAAGTACACACTTGTACTGCACTGGACAGGTTTGAACTTGAAGTTTTTGGCATTCCAGCAAAGCAAATAGTCATAGTTTTTTTTATCATAGGGGACCAAAGCGGGGCCCCTTTGATCACATTGTCATCAATGGACAATGTGATCAAACTAGAAGATCTCAATGACTTAACATCTTTCAACTACTCTCTATTACCTGTGGTACCAAATATTTGTTGAATCAAATTGCACGAAGCAGATTTGAATGAAACTTAGAGATGATCAAGGGATGGAGCCCTTTTTGCTCTTGATGGAGTTTGACCGACATGCTGTGATGAATGGTGGACACAGAGTTCATCAAAAACCTCCTGACGTCAGTGTGATAAAACCTAAAGCTGATAACACAAACGCAGAAGCTTTCATTTGAAATGTCAGCCAGTTGAGTTTAGAAAGTTTGGGATGGTTTTGCTTGTTTAAGGACGAGACAGGACAGTGGAAATGTTCCGACTTACCAGGATCAAATGAGGATAAAATAGTGAAGTCCAAGTTTAAGTCCTCCGAGCTTATTCCACAGGGCTGAACTTCTTTGTCGACTTTATGACCGAGACAATAAAATAAAAAGGGGGAGGGAGCAGTGGAAGTGGCCAGAGTTCTGCTGGTTGTAGTTCAGCAAAGCCACCAACAGGTGGCGGCAAAGTTCAACCTTTACTGACTGGAATTTTGTGCATAGAAAAGTTTCAAATTCATCTTCACTTTAAGATGTTTGTCCATTTTGTAATTTATGGAGGAGGTGATAGTCCCAGATGCAGTTTTCTGCGTCTGGAGGACTTTTAAAAGAGGAGCTGAGTTCTTCTCAACAATGTTGTTTATGGCACAGTGGATTCTACCGTCTTTTTTTATCCACAAGAACTAAGAACAACAGCATCCAAAAAGAAACGGGAGGATAAGTGAGCCCTAGTTTAAACGTGTTTATGTGCACTGGTTTAGAAAGAACAGTTTCACCAAAGCCCAATTTGTTGGCTGGCAAAAAGTCATTATTTAGAAAATGCACTAAGTGAGTAAAATATGATTAGAGCAGTTCGAATTGACCGGATCTGTGGTGCCTCTTTTTAAATCTTCTTGAGTAAGCTGTAGATCATCTTTTATGAGAGGCAAGAGCTAATTCCGCTCCTCATTTCCTTTCAGATGCAGCGTTCAAGCATTAAAAGTGTTCCAAAACCCTTTCCTGATAAAGCCTCTATATCGATTTAAATCGGGCATTTTCTGTAGAGCGCTCCCTAAACCAGATGACCCTCATTCTGGTCATTCTGCTTGTGGTCAGGGTCTGGTTGCTGGTTGCAGAGCTAAAGTGGGGAGGTGGGAAGATAGAGGGAGGTGCACACCACCACACGGTCTGAGTGGAGCAGGAAGAACACACACAGACCACAAAGGGCTTTAATCAAAGGCTGTTTTGCGGACTTACACGAGTGGATTTGAGTTTCAACTGATTCCACCACTTGGAAAAACCGTGCTTTGACTCTTTGCTGAGTTTCAAACAGAGAAGAAGAGAAGCTGATGCTCTTATGGTGGATTGCTCTCCTTTTCCGGCATCTGTTTCCAGCCTTCTCCTAAACTCCCAGCAATAATTTGGACATCTTTTCAGTCGTTTGGTGTCACCGACCCTTTGGCACAGGAAGGATTTCCTCTGACACGAGAGAGGCCTTTTTGGAAAATGGGAGGGCGTGTGGAGGCGGGACAGGGAGGGAGGTCTCATCAGAGGAGGGAGGTGAAACAGGTGAAGAGGGCTGAGCTACTCTTTCTCTGCCTCTGCCTCCGGTCTGTAAGCAGCTGCTGCCCAGTGAGAGCCCGACGCAAGAAAGAGCCATGGCTGTCAACAAATGTGTCAAATACCTGCTCTTCCTCTTCAACCTGCTGTTCTGGGTGAGTCTGGACTTTAAAAGCTCTCTTCTGATTCCTGTTCAGGTGCTCTGGAACAAGGTTCTGGGTTCCCTTTGGGGATGCGGGGGTCAGTTTTAGGCAGGATTTCAGTTTTTCCTGTGCTGTGAAGTGTGTAGAACAGGTTTAGCCGGCTCTCCCCCGTTGATGCCTCACCCCTCACAAACAAACAAACGCGTGCTCGGTTTCAGGGCGTGGCCGCCCGGCCTCACCTCCTCCACCGCATGACTTAGCTCCCAGAGGTTCAGATTCTAAGCTAACACCCCCACGCTGGTCTCCACTCTGTGCCTCATTCATCTAGTTTAAGCTGGGTCACCTGCTTGCTTTTCCTCAGTTCCTCTTCTGGGAGTAACCCATTCAAGCTAAATGCTCCGTGTTGGTTAATCTGTAATGAAGTTAAAGCTAAATGGGTTTTGTTCAAGGGCGATACAGGAACAGGGTTTACTGTTCTTGTTTTATATTTGCATGTATGATGCTGTTAGACTCTGTGGGCTGTAAAATGAGAGATCCACGCGTCTCCAGGAAGCTGCTTTTGGGGATCAGACACCCGGCATCCACTTTTAGGTTTGTTCAGGAGCCAGGCCCTGAGCTCAAACCAGTTCTGTGGGTTTCTGCAACAAAGGAACCCACTCCCCCAACCTGGAGAGCCTGTTCCAGTGGCCCCGGCCCTCCAATGGTCTCACACTCCAGCAGCCAAACCGGCTCAGATGTGTGTGCGCCGCATCCGAAAGAAAGGAGCCGTTCAGCGTTTTTAGAAATGACGGCGCCCTCTGAAGTGCTCCGAAGTGGAGCGTCAGAATCCACCCACTCGTTTAGGATCCCTGCTTCTGTTTCCGTTTCTTCCCGTCAAAATGTAACACAAGTGTTGACTTCCATCTTTTGTGTAGGACTCAGATCCTGTTTGTTGTTGGTGTGTGTGTGTGTATATGACACAGATTCCTGCAGCATTTGAAGGCTTCCATGAGGATAATTCCATGAAACCGCTGTTATTTTGACAGTTTGTGTACTTTACAGCTCAAATGGGCAGCTGAAATGTGCTTCTCTGGTTCTGTGTTTAGAGTTTTTTTTTTTTAGTTTATCTGGTGTTTAATGGCCACAGACCTTACAATGAGTCCACCTCTTTCCCCTGAACCATGTGGACGTGAGTCCAGAGCTTCTCCCCCCTCCGTGTTGGTGGAATCGGGGTTCTGACTCAGTCACCCATCATACTGCTTATTTTCTGTTGCCTGCTTCTATCTAAGCAACAATTTCTTCACATCTGACCTGTTGTCTGTCAGTGAGCCGGAAATATTCTCTCCACCTTTTTTAAATGGAGCTCCTGTTGCCGCTGGGGTTGTTTTTGGTCTCTGAGTCGATGTGGAATCGATGTTAAAGCGGTTCGGAGCTCTCGGTGGTGTGATGTGTTTACGTCCTGATGGGCCTGGCTGGACGGAGGGGGGGAGGGGGGCTCCTTATTTACTGTAAGTCCTGTTTGCTGCGTGTTTTTGTGGCGCCGCCGTGGCTTTCAGGCCCACAGTGATGGTTCCATCTGTAATGAGATCTGTGGAACTAACTGGGAGGAAATGAGCCCTCAGAGTCTGTGTGCTCCAGAGCTGCTGTCTCCTGATTGGACCACAACTCATGCCATTTCCCTCTTAAGTCTTCTGTCCTTTTACTGTGCGTACAGGTGGTCCAAACAGGGAGCTCTGGGACGTTATTTTTCCTTATCTTATCAGCAACGGAAATGTTTCCATATGCAGAAGTATTGATATCATTTAGCTTTGTCCCAGTTTCTGGCGTTAACGGATGGAACTTGTTCCTCATCCTTCTTTAAAACTCTGGTGTCAGATTACAGAAGGCCGGGGGGGGGGACGAACAACTGAATGACAGAGTTGTGGGTGAGCCCCGAGGCTGAGTCAGCCGCTGGTGCTGTTGACACCAACACGACCCGGAAAAAAAACCTACCAGATAGGGTTGTCACAACACTAAAATGTTTAACTCGATACCGATACCCGGGAAAATACTCTATACCATTTTCAATACCACAAGGATAAAAACAAAGGCCACAAAATTGCAACAGAATTTTTTTAAAATTTATAAATGAAATACAAAAAAATTAATAAATGGATACAATAAACGATAAGAACAATATTTTGAAGTTGTATGCTGTGCACAATATTAAGCAGGCTTTGTAAAAAAAAAATCATACTTTTGAATATAAGTATTGTATCCGGATATGTTTTAGTATCAATACTTTTTGGAGTATCGATACTTTTGACAACCCTAAGTCCGTTTCAAACACAAATCCTCAGTCTGGAGTCTTTTCAAAACGAGATGAATATGGTAGATGATTTTTAACTGTAAGACCTCAAAAATAACACATAGAATTTGTTCAATCAAATTCTAACAGAAGGGACACAGAGAGCCAGAAGTTGTGGCTGTTTCAGTCTGAGTTTGGCTTTCCTGCTTCTTTGTGGGTGGAGATTTGACTCCGGAGCCCTCATTTGAATAATTTCCGTGTGGTGAAACTCCTGATATTGGGACACTGAGGTTTATCCAGGCCCGGACTCGCCCCGATGCTTATCAACTCCACCATCGTCACCCAGGATTTCTGTACTCTGCTTTGTCTTCTCTATGGTTTCATGAATCCAGAAACGGAGGTTTTGCATTTCACAACCGCTCCTGGTATGGTGTTATTTCTGCCTGTGAGTCAGAGCTGAGCAGCTCCAGACCAACCACCTTTACCTCTGCCCAGAGGCGGAAAAACCCACACCTGTGACGAGCCCCTGAACTGGACCCTGGAGTCCTGGAGTCCTGGCAAACCTTTTCCAATCATACCAAACAGGCCATGACACTAATGACCATGTCCGCCCGATTCTTTAGTTGGAAACCTGAGAATAACCAGAGGAGATCAAGAGTATAAAAATGACATTTTTATACCCCACCCCCCCTATTCAAAAGGACTGGACACGACTGAGTGCTTATTTGCCAGTTATTTACTAACCCCATAACTCTGACGTGAACAGGCCAGGTCCTAATTAATGCAGGTAACCTTGGAATGTGGTAACAAAGTTTGTGTGTGTGTGTGTGTTGACTTAATGACGTGTGTCTAATGTAACGATGTAAAAGAGTCTGTGGTTACAGCCAGAGAATTTAACACAAAAGTATAGCTCTAAAAGGAATAAGACAATCAGTAATTTACACAGATTATGTTATGGCCTACAATACTAAAGTGAGTAATTATGGCCAAATTCTAACAACCACATCAACAAAATAGCACATCTTTAATGTTAATCACATTTAATCCAGATTAAAAGCAAAACAAAGCCTTCCTAAATCATCCTGAATTTCAGTCCAAGGCCAATAGGATTTCTATTGGCATCACTATAATGATCTTTAATCTTGACTACTGAGGCTTAATCAGATCCATTTGTAATGTAAACCAAATAACTCCCACGATGAGGAGAAATGAGTTTAAGAGTCAACTTTTATTAGTTAACTTTTAAGTGTTCATGATCCTCTTTGATTCGGGCTCCGGTTTGTGGCATTTCCAGCGTGGGGGGCAGTCTCTGGGCAGTGTCAGTGGTCAGTAAATGCACCTGCTCGTGTGTGTGGAAGTGCCCGACACGTTTGGATTGGGCGTGGGCGTGTTTCCAGACCTGCCATCAGAATGCTGCCCTGCAGGTTTCCCCCCCCGGGGATCGGGTCTGGGTACTAATGCCACTCTGAGAAGAGGCTTTTCTCTCTGCGTTTGGGCAGAGCCTCTGGAGCTGCCTTTAAAGAAAACAACTCTTTGTATGGCCCTTTGTGTTTCGCTGATAAACGGGTGGAGCAGCAGCATGGTACGGGCATCCAGAAATAGACCGGTTTCCAGTTTGTCTTTGTTTTTTTTACCCCTAACGACAAACCCCATGAGGATTGATAACAAAAATTTAGATTTTTAAAAAAAGTTTTGTCTTGTATTGGCTCACTGGGTGGATATCTGGTTGTATTTTTGGTACTGGAGACATGATTTTAGCACAGGAGCCACACAGGAATTTGACTGTTTAATCCCGCATCCAAGTGAATCATTTCTAATTGTAACAACATTTGCAGGTATTCTTAACGTAATTCAGCCCAGTGAAGACTCCATATTCCACCTTTTTAAAATATTTCTTATTCCTAAACTACTGGAAAATAACATTTAACCTTATCTCATTGAAACATTTGTATAGTAAACTAAGACTGGATTAAATGACATATGCAAAGTCCCTTTTTGTTGCATTTAAAACTTTAAATCAAACATTTTTTAAAGAGTTGCTTGACTCTTGAATCCATGGCTTGAAAAAGAGGATTAGATTAATTAGTCCTACTTATTAATACTTCAGGGTGGTAAGATTTGAATTAAATGGTTTAATTGACTTAACTGGCACCAAAATGTCTGGGAAAGTGTCGGAAACGGGATGTTTCTGTGGATGGTGGCCCCATCCCAGAACCCAGATTTCCCATGGTTCTGCTCGAGGTTTTTGCCTGTTAAAAGGAAGTTTTTCCTTGCCTGTGTCGCCTAGTGCTTGCTCATGGTGGGAATTGCTGGGTTTCTGTAATTAACTTCAGAGTAGGGTCTGACCTGCTCTGTTTGGAAAGCTGTGAAACAACTGTTGTTGTGATGTGGCGCTATATAAATAAAATTGAATTCATTTTAATTTTGTAATGTCATTGTCTTAACGTGTGTTTGGAATGATTTTGTATTTTGTGTTGTTTGGTCTTCCTGCCTCAGGATGACAGATGTAAATTAGCAACTATGCTATAATCTGGTTCATTTACAATCTGTATGAGATTGTTCATTAATGTGCACTGTCCTGATGAAATAAATAAATAAATAAATAAATAAAGCTAGACGGGGAGACTAGTGCTTTATGTCCCACTCTGCGGTTATAGTTTTTCAAAATGGCGGAACGACATGGAAACCTCCATGGACTTACCCGTCCTATGTATATACAGATTATTACTTCAGGTAGAAAAACAAACTGGGATATACACGAAACCATTTCTCAAAGCTTGGTAGCAGGAGACTTTGGTTCTGTGTTGGTTTATCTCTGCTGAGAGGATGAAGCTTCATTTATTAGATTCACCCCTCCTATCCGGATGATTCCCCATGAGGTCAGACTTGGTTGTTAGCTTTCCTGATCTATAAACTAAACTGTAGCTTCTCTACACTGAAACTGTCCAGCTGCTCCATCTGTGCTGTAATTAGCAAAGATGGCCGGAGTTACTGGTCTCCTGGTGCTCAGTCATACAAATCTGGTTTTCCTCCTGTGAGGCAGAAATGCAGCTCTGGGTTTACAGTTTTTTTTTTCTTTTTTTCTTTTGATGAAAATGTTAGAGAAGATGGTGGAAGTTGTGTAAAATTGCCTGAAAACTGCAGCTCCCCTCCTGCGTCTTATTTATCTCTTTATTTATTATAGTAGCACAAAAATCCGAAACTCTGACTTATATTTAAAACTTAACCTGTGTTTTAAAAAGTAATCAAAATAAGGTTGGATTTCCTAAACTGCAACGTTGCTCACAATGGTGGGCATCAAACAAATTAAAGTGACGTCTGCTACTAGTTTGATTTGATCCTTTCTAATCAAAGTTTTGGTTTTGTTCTGTCGGCACAGAAGATGTTTGATGGTCAATACTTGTTTAAATCTGCGTCTCTGTATGAAAAACCACAGAGGACTATTTGAATGGCAGCACATCAGGTTTGTGTGTGTGTGTGTGTGTGTGTGTGCTCAGGGTGTGGCGCTGATGTGTGGGCGTGCTTTGCTGCTACTCTGGATCATGTCCTCACATTTGTTTCCGTTCATTCAGAGATAGAAGTGCCATCAATCAGCCTCTTAGAAACTTCATGTACCCTCACCGTCTATCTATCGTTTAAAATATCTTCTCTACAATTGGCGCACATGGACAGAGTTTAAAACGGAGGGAGTTGTTTGTTCTGTCAATGCCTCTAAATTCAAATTCATCCTCGCATTGATACTTTTTGTATGCTGAAAAAACCCAGATATCTAAATAGACTCACGTTTGGCTGCGCGCGGGAAAATACATGATTCCTCTAAATAGATAAACCAATCAAATGGATTTTTAGCTGGTTATTTAGTTTTATTGTTGACTGCATACTTAAAAAAAGAAAAAAAAAAGGCAAATGCTCCAAAAACAAGGATCTGACTGTATTTGCTTTAAGCCTGAATTAATAAAGTTATTTTGTAGTGGACTTGGACATGACCAGTGATCTGTATAGTTGAGATAAGGGTTTAGGACACAGGACTAAAAATAATAGCCACAGCGTGGAGGACAAAATAAATCTAAACTCTAGCTCTGGTCTTAAGGATGTTCGTTTTAGTTGTTTTTCTGGTCTTTCTCCGTCTCCACGGGAACGCAGATGTCTGCTCGGGGTTTTCCGGCTCTGTCTTCTCTCTTTGCTCTAAGCATGAAAAATTGATGACGGGTAATTTCTCCCGGCAGCTTGTTTCTGCCGGCTAATTGTGTGAGTGCTGAATATTGCATGTCCTTCATCGGCCGGAGCCCCGCCCCCAGCAGCTGGACCCCCGCCTCAGGGGGAACTAGACCAGGACCAGAGGCCTAGACCAGGACCAGAGGCCTAGACCAGGACCAGGACCAGAGGCCTGGTCCAGGACCAGAGGCCTGGTGGGCTTTTGGGTTTCCCCCTCCAAAACGCCCAAGTTTCATTGATGATTTTCCACAAAGACTTGCCAATTAGGAGACTCTTACTTTTGTTGTGTAGCCATTTTCTTTCCTCTTGTTTTTCTCCTCTGTTTTCCCGATTCTTAGACTCTGAAAAGACAATATAAAACCTGAAAAGTCAGGTTCCATTTCCCATATCTGCTTCATCCTGCTCCAGGATGCAGGTGATCGGAGGCTTCCTGGCTTCACTTACTGTCTTTTAACATGCTTTTGGTCTTTAGACTTCACGACATAGTGAGGGATGAGCAGAAGTTTGGGGTAAACGTAGATGATGGAGTAAATGACTGTAACAAGGATCAGCAGAATTTCTCATTCTCCGTTCACACGTTCAGTCACTGAGCCACCACCCTTCTCTCCTAAAGTAAACCGGGTCTTATTCTGTTCTCAGAAACCTGGCTTTTAAAGGGACTTCTGAGAAGTTGTCAGATTTCAGTTAGCCCTTTGGCGCCCCCTGCAGGCACATTAGTTACAGCACAGTGGAGCCACAAAAACCACATCAGAGGCCGAACTGAGAAATGGAAACGATTTAAAAGGCAACCGACTCTGATTTCGGGCTGGAATCCAAAGTTTTAGAGCAGAAATATGCAGCTAAAAGCAGTTTCAAGGTGCACTAACTGCTTTAATGTTGCTTCCAGAGACCAAACCTTTCGTCTTGGACTGTTTCCATCTCACCCCCCAGTGTCTCCATTTTAGTTAAACTCTTAAACGTGCTCCTGGATATTATTGCAGTTATAAATAAATGAACAAACATTGTACTGAGAAAGCTTTGCCCAAATGTTGGGGCTTTGCTTTTGCTTTTTAACCCGTTAATAAATGAGCATTCTAACCCTTCATCCTCACAGAAAACGTGATGCCTGCTTATAACTGTCCGGCAGGTTTGGTTCTCTGAAAAGAACCGGACTGAGCTGTGAACCCTTTGGTCTCACCACTAGAGGACGCCACATTCCACATCTTCGTCAGTTTTACGGTGGTCTTTTTTTTTTTCTGTCTCCAGATCAGTGGCTGCATCATCCTGGGTGTGTCCATCTACCTGAAAGTGAGCAACGAAGGAAACGAGGTATGAGGCCGCTCCCCCCCCCCCTCCTACGACCCATAGCTCCTGAGAAATAAAGAAAACCTCAGCCCACATTACGGCGTCCAGATGAAAACGACCCGAACCCAGCCTCTGAACTCGTCCCCTCCACAGGAAGTGACCACATGTCTGTCCACTGCTTCTCTCCGTCCACAGCTGACCAATGAGGCCCTGCCGGGCATCGACCTGATGATCGCCATCGGCGCCATCATCATGCTGCTGGGCTTCCTGGGCTGCTGCGGCGCCATCAGGGAGAACCGCTGCCTGCTGCTGATCGTGAGCTGATTTAATCCCTTCCCAATGGTGAAGTTAGCGTGGGGGAATAAGAAAAAACATTTCTCCCCACCCTTAACCAGTATTTTAAAGAGATGCGTTTGTATCGTCCCTTTTTTTTTATTAATAAATTGAAAAAGCAGGTGTAAAAATGGTGGACAGGGCTGTGAGGGACAGGAGGAAATGTGTTTATTTGATTAGTTTAACCCAAAGGGATGAAAAAAACGTGGATTTTTGCTTTAAAATGGAAAGACTATGAAATAATTGAGGAGGTTCTGTCTGACAGAAGATTGTTGATTGTTCTCCCTCAGTTCTTCATCAGCCTCCTGATCATCTTCATCCTCCTGCTGGCAGCCGGCATCCTGGGGGCTGTGGAGGAGCAGAAGGTACCGCAGAGGAGCCAGTGGAGGACCAAAACAAGCAAAAATATCCTCATTTTATATCTGCAGTAATGGATGAAGGTCTGATCGGACTTCCTGCTGTGTGCTCGTCCCGTTGTAGGTGAAGGACTGGATGAAGGAGCGTCTGGAAAAGTTCACCCCGCTCTCCAAACAGCCTCAGAATGTGAAGGACGACCTGGAGAAACTGCAGGTCCAGGTAACCGGCAGATGGACACGTTTTCCTCCAAATACAATCCGAATGACTGAACACCGATCTGAAATCTGAAATGAAAAAAGAACTAATATCTCCAGTTCATTTAAAGTCTAAAAAACGACCAAAATGAACTAAGAAAATAAACCTAAAACCATATCAAATGACAGCTTGTGTTTAACTGTAACTGTAATATGTAAAATGATGACACGGCACAATAAGAATGAATCTTTCACACTACAGACTTACAAAATCTGTCTTTAAATTCATGAAGGAATTCAATATTAAACTGTATTTAACGCTGGATGAAGATGATATTTAGCCAGCTATTTCTTGGTTTTTTAATTCTTTTTGTTGTACAAAGAAAATATCTGGCTCTGGTGCAGAGTAAAAGCTTTTTGTAAAAGAAAAAAAACAGATTTAAATGTAAATTTGTACTTGGGACAGAGGGAACTCTTCTAAGGGCTTCTAAGTGTCAGTAGCAGTCGTGTTCTCCTTCCAGCTCAAGTGCTGTGGCCTGGTGAATGGAAAAAGTGACTGGGACAAGATCCCCGACTCCTGCCGCTGCAACGCCACGGAAACCGTGACGTGCCAGTCCACGTACAACGAGACGGTGAGTTAGACGGGAGGCCCCCGGGGGGGGGCGGACATCGGTGTTCTGCTGACCGGGACGGGGCTGTGACCAAAACTCTGTCTCCCCGCAGCCCTGCATCAAGCAGATCATCACCCTGATGGAGGACAACCTGGAGGTGGTGCTGGGGATCGCCTTCGCCATCGCCATCCTGCTGGTCAGCACACACACACACACACAGCCGTCCGCTGACCTTTGTCAGCCCGATTCTTTAGTCGCAAACCTGAGAATAAGCCAGAGTGGATCAAAAGTATAAAAAATGACATTTATTGGACACAGTTAAGTGTATCAACTGGGCTCTGACAGACTAAAACCTCTTTCTGGGTCTCAGTGGGCAAAGAGCCCTGAGATCTGGGTGTGATGGGCATTATCTCCGGGGCTAGTTGGCTATTGGCCTGGGCATGAACAGGCCAGGTCCTAATTCATGCAGATGACAGGAATGTGGTAACAAATGGTGTTTGTGTTGATCTAAAGGTGGATCTAATGCAACAGAGAGAGAAAAAGAGAGAAAGGAGAGTCTGTGGACACAGCCAAAGACTTCAACACAGAATATAGGTGTAAAAGAAAAGAAAACCATCAGTAATTTACATAGATCATGTGATGCAAAAGTGCAATGCTAAAGTGAGTAATTATAGCCAAATTCTAACACCTTAAGGAGGAGTTTCCTCTCAGAAAAGCAGCCTCCACTCTGAACAGATTGATGGGCTTTAAAGGTTTACATCAGTACACACAGTTTGAGAAACACTTGCTGAAATGCTAGTTTCTTCTCAGCACAAATGAGAATGTATTCATTTATCACAGAAATCATCAACAATCAACCAAACTGAATAGGCAAGGCAGGTTTATTTTACAGCACATTTTGTGTACAAGACAATTCAAAGTGCTTCACAGAGAATTTAAAAGCAGAAAAACAAGAAAAGAAAAATATTAAAAATTAGTCAGATGAAAAGTGAAGGGTGCAGATAAAATAGATTCAGTTTCCAGAAGCGTTTTCATTTGGATTTAAACATTCAGAGCTGAGTTCTGTCTCACATATTCAGGAAGACTGATCCAGATTTTAGGAGCCTGGAGCTGAAATGAAGCTCCACCTGGTTTAGTTCTGACTCTGGGCCCCATCAGGAGACCAGAACCTG